GAAGATGCTACACAGTAATCAAGACGTAATACTAAGGATCCAGGAGGAAAGCCTCACGGAAGACAGAATCAAAAGTTTATCTGACGGTTTCATCCAAACGCATTTGGCAAGAGTCATTGGGACTCGTGTTAGAGAGTATCTCCGTCATTTTACTTTGCACGCTTTGACTGTATTCAAGGGATTTAATCTTGACGGTACGATTGCCTCATGACAACGTAAACCAACGGGAAAAGGTGGAAGTGCCGCATTCGCACCGAGTATCCTGTTACTTGTCGCAATAGTCTGAGGACCAGTTCGGACTGGAAACGATCGCTTTTGCAGCCATGGTTCCTAGGAGTACGGGCGTGTTTGGATAGCATAGGTGAGTTACAGACGAAAAAGTTACTTTACAGATGACGTCGGTTTAGCAAAGGGTCTTAAATACAACTTTTGTGAACTAAAGTAACCGCAAGATTGTTTTTTGCTGATTTGGCCCCTGTCCAAATTCACTGGCTGAACCTATGGACGGCCGTCCTTAAACGACAACGGCTCCCGAAATGAAGAACTTCGTGCATAACTTCACAAGATGGCAAGCCAAGAAGAGCACCGTACTTCAACACTACTTACCAATGGTGGTGTCAGAGTACAGTCATCGTCGTAAACCTTGACAAAAGGGTCAGAACCAAAGAGAGCACACATAATCCAATCTGTCGAGTTTTTGTATATCTTCGAGCGTAAACCATCAGTGCATTCAAGCGGAACGAGCTAAGGCCTAGTAAATGCATTTAGTAATGCAAAAATGCGTTTAGTTAGCAAAAATGCAAACTCATAGCCGCCGTCGCTGGTCACAGCTGCACTGCTCTAACATCCTGACGTTGACCGGTCCCGGGCCTATTTAATCAGGGTTATTTGAAAGCAACCGCGCACGTCCCCATAATCGAAAACGCGTAAACCACAGTTATAATTACGGGATAAAAAGACGAATCCCAACAACCACAATGCTTTAACGTTATCAAACGAACTGCTGTGCAGGGACAGCGTGCACAATATAGAAGGTTTGGTGGATAAACAACCATTTGAAAATGGCACAGGAAATTTAAACTGTTACAGAGGTCAGGATGACAATGAAAGACAACTACACATGGCGTAACAAGCCAGACCGATTGCAAAATACTTGCGTAAACCCAACCAACTTGTGTCGAATCATCGAACAAGCGTGATATCCCTGCTTCTCCGTGCGGCCCAATCAACGGCTGTCCGAACCTCGGAGATTTTTCCACAAGGGCATTAGAATACTTTTAAACCGATACAAGCGAAAGTGCATTTTTCTAGGAAGTAGTTGAAAAGAAGTAGCAGAACCCATCGTGGGTTCGAGTGAGAATCCGAATAGTCAGGCCAATAAACTTATATTTCCAGCGAGTGCATCCTTGTCTTCGTTTTTTGGGGAGTTTTGAACGCCACGTCGCCGCCTGTATTCGAAATCGGAACTCGCGTAAGTAGTGAATAATTGATGCATAGATTATGGGTTCCTGGTGGGATCAACCAAATAATCCAGTCTTGAATCTCTCTTGATCACAACCCAGGAAAGTGTGATTTCAACACTCTCTTTATTTTTTTTAAAGTTTTGAGCGCTAATTACTTCCATTTGGTACCCACAGTACACTGCTGGAAAGATCGAGTTGAAACGCCGTGAAAACCGATGCATCATGAAGATCGTCCGTGCGAAACCTGAGGCCGCAGGAGAGTACTGCTGTATGGTGGAGGGCGATGAGACCTACGTCGATGTCGCTGTCGAGGATCCTGACTGGTTCTTCACACGTGAGCTCAAGCCACAGACGGCCCTCGAGACAGATGAGGTGGCCAGATTTGAGTGCGAAGTTTCTGACCGGGATGCTGAAGTTCAGTGGTTCAAGAATGACCAGGCAAGTTTTAACTCACCGCACTCATTGAACACTCAAGATCCTGTTTTTGATAAAAATAACGGGTAAAAGTTTAATTTGGAGTCCACTATAGCTTATTTAAATAACCGAATATTTGCGCGAGATAATTAAAATGGCTCAATAGTGTCCAATTGTAAACAGTCGTCGATTCTATATCGTCTCTATATCAACTCTATATAGAAATGATATAGAGATTATATAGACTCGACGATTGTGTCCATTTAGACACTATTGCGCCTTCTTCTTGTTCTTGTTCTTCTACTTTCCTGTTGGTTGTATTTGTCATTTTAATTATCGCGCGCAAATATTTGGTTATTTAAATAATTAATTATAGGCTCTACTTTCCAACTTATTTTTTCTTTCTCCTGATACATCCCACCCACTTAATTCTTATTACTACCTGTCCCGTATTGCAGAGGGATTGGCTTTTCGTGTGCTGTTTTGGAGCCTAAGTTGAACATTTGCCAGAAAAAAGTTTACAGTTGTGATGCTGTTTGATGCTGCTGCTACTGATAATCGCTGTTTCCTCTTACTGTGCAGCCCATCACTGCAGACGACAAGTACGAAATGCTTACTGAATCTCGGCTGAAACGTGTCTTGAAGATTAAGAAGATTGCAATGGAGGATGACGCTGTATACACTTGCAAGGTTGCAAAGAAGACAACTAGTGCACGTCTTACCGTTAAACGTAAGTTATGAAAGTATACTCAGCTTCCTTGGTGTACTTGAATTTCACGTAAGCCATTTCTCCTTCCATGGCATTGAAGGCCCAATAAGAAGTTAAGATGATAGTGAAAGTGCTTACCTTTTCGCACATTTTTGTCGGATGCTGCTGATGCCTCTGTAGCTACTAGCCCATCTTGATTCTCTCCTTCAGCTGATGTGGAGTTTAAACAGAATCTAATCGACACGAACGGCATTGAGACAAAATACAAGGAATTGGTGTGTAAGGCCTACAATCCAAAGAAGTATCCAGTTCGTTGGTTCAAGAATGACCAGGAGATTACATTTGACGACCGTGTTTGCACACAGGAGTCAGACGGCGTCCTCTATCTTATCTTCAAATCCCTTGAGATGGATGATGAAGCCGTCTACTCCTGCAAGATCGGCTCACATCAGACATCCGGCAAACTTGGTGTAAGTAATTTTTGTTGTCTGCAAACTCTTGTTTTTTTGGTCCTGACAGCCAAATCTAATTCCACACATTTCCTGTATCCTAGGTAACGGAATGCGATAAGCCACCATCCGTTGATCTTTCCAAGTTTGACGATCATGTGAAACTGAAG